GACTGTTTGCGTAGCTCGGCAGCAAGCATGCTGTGCTTGCGAGGCGGCGACAGCCGGCGCTAGGGCGTGGGTAACACTCACGGGTCAGCACATGGGTCATGCCAGGGGCCATAGTGGACTAGCACTGACCACCCCTGCGCTGTGCAGCTACAGCTCATAGGCCCTGTGTGCAGGAGGCCTGCGGTGCTGTTATATCTGTAGCCAATCTCTGGATACAGGGCAAGTTTGTTGCGCTGTACCAGTCTTTTGCCATAGTAAACTGACTAAAGCATGGTTGAAGGCACTTCAAGCTTCCAAGTGGGCAACACCTGCCACAGTGCCCAGTATAGCTTGTGTTTTCAACTACATTTGCTGCCCAATGTCAATGTCTTCGTGGAAGTCTCCGGATAGGTACCTTTTCGGTCCGTTGGGTGAAACATAAGTTGCTTGCGTCATGCATTGTCGGTTTGTGGTGTGGGATCACCCATTCCCGAGGAAAAAGTGGGCAGATTTAGCCATTTAGGATTTTTGCTGGTATCTCCGAAACCGGTCAGAGGAGGTTTTTGAAATTTATGGGGCTTTACGAACGCTTCTTTACTTATCGTGTTTGAGTTTCGACCCCTAGCATGCACCGGAGCGCTTTCCGGTCCCGGTATTGAGTGGAGTCTCTAGTGAAATTAGGTGATTACGTGAAGATGGTAATCAGCCGGAACTATGCGGACTGCCTTGTGTTTGCAGGAGTAATTGATAATTCTGGTAAAAAACACCTGCACAATAAGTATGGCTAATGCAGAATTATAAAAGCATATAAAGTAGCAAAGAACGGAGAATAGTTTATTTGCGCGTATAGCATCGTCATGGCAGGCAGTCTTAACGTTTTCATTTCCTGGACACACACATAAATTTTGCATGCTGGAATGTGATCAGAATAATGAGCCTCGAGGCCATTGCCTATCGATCTCCGTTGGTTGTGTCGAAGTGGGTATAATATGACGTAATAGATGAAAACGATAGACTTGGCAACTGTACTGGGTACAAAGTCCATCAAATGATTAGTAGTCTCGCCTTTTTGTCGCCACTCCCTCCCCCACTGGATATTTTTTAGATATCTTTCGTAGAGACTTTCACCTGGTCGAAAGCGATCAAACGCTGCTGTTTTTTATAACCTGTCGGGTAGTTCTTGAACTCTCAAATAGTGAAATCCGGCTGCCACGTCTGGAATGGAATCATTAATGCCTGTACCTAACAAATTAGATAGTGCAATAACCTGTGCCATTTATTTTGCTAGCCATTGTTGTCAGCCATGCCAATCAACTAGGCACAAGAAGAAATATTGCTTACTTATATTGCGCCCATCCATTGGTCATTTTTGTCTACAGAAGCCAAACTCACATCGTATAAGGTGAAGATTTTCATGCAGGAAATGCCATTAATTTTCCGCATTTCAAGATGTGTTTCATGGCCTCAGTTGCTCAATTGGTTCCATGCCGGAGCCATAATAGGGAGGTGATGTGTTCAAGGACGGACAGTCTTGGATTTTTCTACCAGTTCTCAGTGAAATGTGCTGCATTGTTTGCAAACAACCAATGCATACTATCAGTATAATGGAGTGTACAATTTTTTAAAGCTTCTGGCCCAAAAATATCGACGCCACACATTTTAATTCCAAATATATGCACTATGGCAGAAACTGCGGCACGCTACCTTCAGTTTCGGGCTGCCAATGTCATTGCCAGCTGAGGTTTCAGCCTACATCGCAGATCTAGTGTGCTTCTCATCTTACACTGCATGCTTTATACTGAACTTCGCTCAACCCAGCCTCTATTATTCTGGAACATACTTACCTCCGACTCCAGTACCACGAGGCGGTGGACATTCAAACTGTCAAGCTGTAGCGTCGGTTCGGTCAGGCTTGGCTCAAGCATCTGTAGGTGCTAGAAATAATCCTCATCAAAAATCAAAATCAAATAACTTGAGCTTCGCAGATCGAGGGCCCTCATGCTTCTGCGAATCTGCTGTTTGCAGTGTCACTGGCTGCAGTGCCGAGACATGTCGCACCCGACGTCCAACTCAGGAGCTGCTCCTGGCGCAGCCTCGGCGCAGACCCACGGCTGCTCTTGGCGCAGCCTCGGCGCAGATCCACGGCTGCTCTTGGCGCAGCCTCGGCGCAGATCCACGGCTGCTCTTGACGCAGCCTCGGCGCAGATCCACGGCTGCTCTTGACGCAGCCTCGGCGCAGATCCACGGCTGCTCTTGGCGCAGCCTCGGCGCAGACCCACGGCTGCTCTTGGCGCAGCCTCGGCGCAGACCCACAGCCACTCTTGACGCATCTCTTGGCGCAGCTGTTGGCACAGACCCACAGCTGCTCTTGGCGTGTCCCGCAGCACTGGTGCCATGACACCAGACGTGAAGGACGTGGCTCAGCGATGTCTGGCGCTCCAGTCAAAGGAGGAGATCATCAGGCGGATGCCGAGCGATGCGGTGCGTCTTCGTCGCGTCGTGTCCATGTCTCTGGCAGCAGCACCAGCGAAACGTGCTTTCGCCGCCCCGAGGCTGGCGAACACGTGTATTCGTTCAGTGATGAGCCCGAATAGGCTGTCGTGCAGGTGATACTGCGTGCCCAGCAGACACGTGACTTCGCGCGTGAGCCCAATCCCACTTTGCATCAGCTCGAGGGAAAATGTGTTCTTGGTTGTGTTTCGCTATGCTTCTAGGGTACACCTGTTTGGTAGAGTGTTGTGTGGCTAGGGACTGCGAAATGGGGAAAGGTACTTCGGGGAAGTTTTTCGAAGTCACTTGAGCATTGATGATGTCATAAAAACGTCATTCAAATAATGTCAATCTATAGCTCATGCGGCGATCAAGGCAAATAAAAATGTAATTGTCGAGGCGTTTCATACCTGCTGTTAGTGAGCACGATCTCCAGATACAATGGTCATTAGTTGGCTATCAATTCATGTTGAGTGAGGTACAATGGCGTGATCAAATCATGACGCATTGAGGAGTTGTATTTAGTAAGCGGAGAATTTTGCTGTTTAGAGCAGTCTCTCACGCTTCAAAAGCATACCAATAGTTAAAAGTGAGCTTGTTTCAGCATATCTGATGCTTGCTTTAATATCTTCAAATATGAAACACTCCTTCAACAAGCAAATAGTCTGGAGCTACAAGTCCATACGAACCATGTGGAAAAACCGAAATAAGAAGTATGAATGCCGCTGAGAAACGTAAGGAGCGGCCGCATGTTTATTGCTTCTATGATTAGTTCAGCCCGTTTGGTTGATGGATTTCATCTGAGATGATAGTCCAGAGATGAGATCAGTCATGTAATGTGAGCCTAACCCCACCAGCCGATGTTAAAATGTTACTTCAGCACCGGAATGTCGTGGCAAATATTTGACGGGCCGCAATAAATTGGCGACCTGCTCTTTGACCTTACCTGACCTTGAGTGGCCGCTGCAATCGGCCGTAAGCTTTCCCAGTTAGGAACAAATAGCGACCGCAGAAGCGACTCGGACCGTCAGCATTAAAGGGAATGTTCCACATTTGAAGATATTGCAGTTAGCACCGGATATGGTAAAATAAGCTCTCTCATAACCGCTGGTATGCTTCTAAATGTAAAAGACTGCTCTAGACAACATCTTTTTTTCTATTTAGTAGGTTTGCATCTGAATAAGTTGTTGTTTGGTTGCGTCATCGCACCTTGCACAAGATTGGTTGAGGGCCAACTGACAGCCGTTATATCTGGAAATCGTGTTTACGAACTCCATATAGTAACGACCTGACATTTACATTTCCTTGGCCTCGATTGCTGCATGTCTGATAGAATGACAGGAGTTGAATGACGTTATTATAACGTCACAAAGGCCTTGGCGACCTTCAAATAGCCTCCCCTAAATCGTCTGCACATATTTGCGGGGTTGTAGCTCAGAATTTTTTATAAATTTATTCCGAATGGTTTTGTATGGGTGACTTCGGATTCAGAGTACCTGCTAAGCATAGCTTGTTGCGTGTACCCCGAACCCACCATCGAAGCGTGCCGTGCAGTTCAACAGCTAATTTTGCCTCCGCCCCTTCGCCAGACAGGAATGCGAAGGGTTTTACGTGCCACACAATGCTGCGACACGGCCGCCTCGGGTCTGGGTTGAACCTCGTTGGCCAGTTACCGGCTTGTCTTTCCATTTCAGTCGGGTCAAACAATGCGCCCATTCTGGGACTCGTACTCAGTGCCGCTGGATTACGAGTCCAGCATCTTTCCCCAAGACCACGGAGGCGGCATCAATTTAGATGGGCTTAATTCAGATCAATTTATTACCGATCAATTTAGATGGGTTTATGCCTTAAGAAGGGTGGGATTGTGAATCGCACCAAATGACCTTCAAGGTGGATGTTCCACTTCAAAGTCCTGCACAAATCTGGAACACTCCTTTAAACCATATCGCCACCGCTGAATTAAAACAAACGCTTGGGAGCCAGGAGCATCAGGCTATGACGGCGGCCAGTTGCTGGTTCAATGAACAAATAAATGGCCTCACTGAAAATGGAGACCCACTGGATTGGAGGAACCACCATGACGTCATTGCTTCCATCTCAAAGTCGGATACGCTACCACTGATCGTCAATTGCTCTAACTTGTTCGTCAAACTGGAACCTAACTGTGTATCGAAAACGATCTTATGACTCTGTCCAGCTACATGAGTGTTAGGTGTAGGCACATAACTAAACGAGGCAGCGTCTGACCCACGGCGCATCAGAATAACTGCCGATTCACCGCTGGCGGCACTGCCTTGACACTCTATTGCATTTGTTTCGGGAACAAATCAACTGTTTCGTGAATTGTGCTGTCATTTGAGCGATTCAACTTGCCCTGCTTGTTGTATGTAACTCATGGTCTAGCCCCCAGCCGTGAAAGAATGCTGATGCTGGTTCAGGTAAGTCGGAGACCATGGTGATGCCCATGACTTGGCTTGGTTTTATCAGCGTGCCTTTGGTAACAGCAATCTGCGATATCAACACAGCCCAAACATGCTCCAAAATGATGTGCATATATTTCGAAATGCATAAGGTAAATACCTAGTAGACCGATCACATGGAGCAACCAAAACAAGGCTCGAGTTTCAGTTTGGACACCTTAACGAGAGCAATATATGAAACTATGCACGGATATAATCATCCAGACGCAGGGCGACCCGTTACATCCCGCCCAAACGGCTCCCCCACTAAAACACGTCACGGCGTCACGAAGAGCGCGGACCAATCAGCGGCGCGCGGCGCGGCCAATCCCGCTTGCGTTGTCATCGCGGGCCGTTGCCGAACACGGGTCGTACGGCCGGGCACTTTCGCTGGCCGGTGCCCGGGCTGCTGGCGCTCCGTCGGCGGTCGCCCTACACGCTAAGCGGACACGGAGCCCGCGCGCCGCCGGACGCCGCGTCGGGGCACGTCGCTGCGACGTCACACGCGTGCGGACGGCACGTGATGTCATCGGTGACGTCGCGACATTATCGCGCCGACCGCGGCTAAAGAGCCGCTCCCATCACGCCGTCTGGAAAGGAAATGAGCCCGTGAATATCGACGGTGTAATGACGTCGTGGAGCTCAAACGAGAACATTCTGTTAACAGCCGTTCATGTGGGCCGAGGTGGTGACACTAGCTATCGCATTAGGACTGTCGGCTCCAAGATAAACAATGTTTTTCTTCTCGGCAGGACGAAAAAGTTCTTATGGTTTGTGATGTATGCGACCGTAAACAAAACCAACCACAGAGGACTAATACACCTGCACACACTGCCTTGGTAACAAGTGGTTTGTTATATTACGACCAACACAAAGATGTATAGTAAGCGCCTACGTTTAGCCATGCAAGTAAATGCTTTGAAACATTAGTTATCTTTAACAAACGACAGACCACGCTCGATACAATATAAGTATAAATTAAAAGATCGGTAGAATACATGCTTGCCTATGATAGGCCGTGTGCATTCGCGTTCTCTTTGGCACTCAAGCTATTCGAAACATACAGTCGCTTTGACATACTTAAAGAATCCATAGGCCTGGTCTATGCGTTTAAGCAACAAAACTAAATTATTAATCTACCCACATGATGGTGCATTTCCCCAATGTATATCACACGCACTTTAAAGTTTATTCTACGGCAGCAAGCGTACGTCACCTTTCATAAGTTCAATTTGGACACAAAAATAGCGTCATTTCTCGTGACAACGGCGCAAGAAAAGGGACCTGACTTCGCAAGCACGGCTGCTGCGCCCACGGTAATTTAAAAGGGAAACGCCCTCGCCTGGTCGCATTCCTGTGCGGCGGGTCTCGATGGAAGCCCATGAGAAGTGCCGATTTGACCCCTATGGGATTTTGGAAAGATACTGACCCGATTTTTGTGTTCATGGTCGCAAATAAGGACTTCTGCCATCAACCAGCGCCCTGCAAGGTTAACAAATTCGATAACTTTAAAGATATAAACAATTGATGTAAAAATATTAAAAACTACCCTCAACTTGCTCTTAATCTGGCCACGACAGAGCATTTTGCTGTCGAAAAAGCATTTGCAGTGATATACCCTTTTCCCAATGATGACCAAAGTATTGCGAAAACCGCAACACCTTAAATAACCACCAGGGACCGAACTGCACGCCCGGCGACCTTGCATGGTCCAGCCTCTTTCGGCTCAGGACGCAGAGTCTTTTATTCGAGATGGGTTTGGGGAACGATGCCACTGACCATCCGTCAGTTCATACTGACACAACCGTGGCATGGGTATTTCTGAGGCCTGTTAGAAGTTGCAGCCGGCACATTCGTCAACATCATACGCTCGGCTTCACGCCTTCATCTGGCCTGGCTGCAGAGATCTGGCATAAACCGTTAAAAGTGGCTCAATCGAGTGGATCCATGGTATGGACCGTAACCGCCTGCTCGTATCAACCCAAACGCTTGTCGACACTATAGTCTTTTCCACATCGGGCAGACTATGTTAGTGTTTGTGTCACCACTACACCGGATTACCAAAGCTCGGACCCAGTTCTGATGCATGCTCTTCTGTGTTTTTTCTCCTTTTAAGATTTTTACATGCTCCACGTTAATCCAGTGCAGGAGGCAAAATTGTAATGATATCGCAGGACTCCAGGAAAACGCGCCTGATGAAGCAGCTTGCATGACAATGCCGGATTGTTTATGCAGCACAAATTTTAAACAATTGCGCTTTCTTTTGCTGAGAGTCGCATGAACCTGCGATGAGTGGTTTCAACTTTTTACAATGCGGCCAGACCGAGCTGGATGGATCATGGATGGTTGGTTGCAAATTTTCTCACAATGCAAGTGAGCCTCACTCGGCCTGCAGCTTCGTTCGTGCACAGTTGTCACATGATTGAACATAACTTTTTTCATCACCGAAAATGACAAGAGCCCGCCGGGTCCCTACTTTCATATCCTCCACGTCTGCTGACTGCCAATCCATGGTCTTCAAAAGCACGGTCGTGTTCGGTAGATCCGCTGTTCGACAGCAAGGTGTGACGCATCCCAACTATGCCACGTCACAGTGTTCTCCGGGAGAGACTTACGCATCTGAACACAAATTGTTTTCAAGGGAGGCTGACAATAGATTAAGAGGACAAATGCATGGCGCTTTAACATACGGTACGCGCTTTTCAAGCACGACAGACATGAGTGCGTTGCGCGTCGACCATATTTGCAAAGCGCAAGGGTAACATTGCCCTGGCGTTTCCTTCTGCGATGCCTAGGAGGCTGAATAGTTTAGTTTCCAGAAAGTTTCCTGCGTCGTCCCTCCCGTAATCCCGCCCAAAAGGCAATGCCCACGATTCACCGAGACCGCTGCCAGCCACTGGCAGCAAAGAAAAGCAGCCACTTTGATTAACATCTGGGCGCTGCGGGAAAGCCCAAACAGCTTGGAACGATACCCTAATATGCTATGGTGAACTACAATTATGCATACGGTCTTCTCCCCTATTGTAGATCTCTACTAATTTGACTTTGAAGGTGTGCAGCCGCGTATGTCGCTCTTGGAAAGCATCGTGACAAAATGCGCGCATGCTCCGTGACACCTTGCCGTTAGAACAGCGAGGAGAAAGTCACTTCTCGATCAGCTTGTCTGACTTCAGTTAATGACTTTGAATGGTAGAAGGCAATATCGAAAGTTATATACCTAAAAAGACCTCGATTTGTTGTGTCAAGTCTTTCTTGACTCACTCCTTGTGCCTTCCATCCGCATGCACGATGCTAAATATTTGATAGGGTAAGTTCATTAGGTGCTAGGAAAATTCATACAAGTTCGGCGCTGTGACATTCACCGGTGTTGCGATGAGAAAGAAAAGAACTTCCAAACACAGGTGCGTTTTAGTAGGCCATGCCGGATTAGCTTGGCCCGCCTCATCTCGTCCAATTTCTATTTTGTGATGTGCTGTGTGGACGAACCACCAATCACCTTTTCGAGATGATAATAATTGCAGGAGTAAATCCGGGCAAATAATTTTGTATGTCTTTGCCTGGCATTCGTAGACATTTGGAGATACATTTGCTTGTCAAGCATTTTAAGCCAACAAAATGCTTGAAACGCACAGTGAATATATATTTTTCTGCCCAACATGCTGTTACCTTTTTTAGTTTATTTTTTTTCGTTCCCGCAAATGTGCTGATTCCAAGGACCAGGAATAACTTAAATGAGCGTGATAACATTTCGTCCAGTAAGCGATCATAACATTGGCGCATGAGGCTTGGGCATATCCTGATGCGCATAGTGATTACATTTACGCCAACTTGTCCCGGCTTTTTGGTTTCTGCTTGCGTCCCTGCAAAGTTGAACCTATTTCACCATTCATGGGTTCGTGCTATACCTTGTCTGCAGAGCGCTTCCCCCAAGCGCCACTGAGTTGGGTCCAGTCTTTTCTTTTCTTCGCTTGTAGCTGGTCAGACGCTGCTGTGCTCTTTGGCTGAGATACTTTGTAATTCGCACTAATGAAATGCTGCAAATTATCTGCAAGAAATTAAAACTAAATTAAAGGGCAGATGGTCTCAATATAGCCGCTCAACACCGCCCTAGGACATCACCATCATCACCAACAACATGAAACGTTTCAGAGTGATAACACATGCAAGATATTTCCATGCGGAGACCCAAAAAGGAAAGTTTAAGATGTCACCACTGAACGAGACTCGCTATATTACTGGGATCCAGGACGGTTAAACATGGGCAATAACTACGTTTGTAATACACCGTTCGTGTTGCATTAGCTATAGGTCATGCAAACCAGTTCTAAGTAATTTACATCGCAATGGTCTCAGCAACGACAGTAGAAAGATAGAGGACGGGCAGGCGATACAATTTTGCGTGCGGTCGTTTTAATTTCATGCTTTCCAAACACAGCTGGACTACACATGTTTAACGCATTTCCTGGGATGCGGCAAGCATGACTCATAGGTCCCGCGGCATAGAACAATGGAACAGCAATTCGCCTTAGTAGGAAATCGACTCACCCGATGCGTCCGACCCGTCCTGCAGCTCCGGTAGTAGAACGTTTCGCTTGCCCCAGGATCCACCCAGGTTATTCCAGGCAGCTCGCTTTCCCCAGCCCCCGCTAAAGCTATCCCACCCCTTCCTCTTCCCCCAGGCACCATTGAAGTTGTCCCAGTCTGTTCGTTTTCCCCAGGACCCACCGAAGTTGTCCCACTTTGCTCTCTTTCCCCACGACCCACCAAGGTTGTCCCACTTCGCCCGCTTTCCCCACGACCCATCGAAGTTGTCCCAATTGTTTCGTTTTCCCCATGAACCGCCAAAGTTGTCCCACTTCGCTCTTTTTCCCCAAGACGGACCCATGCTATTCCACTTAGACCTCTTGCCCCAAGACCCCCCAAAGTTGTTCCACTTTCCCCTCTTGCCCCACGAGCCGTCAAAGTTATTCCAGGCGCGTTTTCCCCAGGATCCGGCAAAGTTGTTCCAGCGCCGCTTGTCCTCCGGTGCGGAATAGCCAGATAAGACGAGACCCGTGGCCACTTCCCGCAGTAACGCATCCGAGTCTGCGTCGTCCTCTACCTGAAAAAGCCCAGAAATCACTATTAAGAACGTATTGCTGGGTTTTGTCCACAGCGGTATCCGTATAACGCTTGTTCTACACCAACTGCAAAAAAAAAAACGATTGGGGGGTAACAAGTTCGTGGCCGATACGTCGGCTAACCAATGCATCCATCTTCAGCATTCATACAGTTCCTCCTGAAATTACATTCAAATGCACATCATGGAGGGGTTTCGTGCATTTTTGGGGGAATTTAGCGGGCCAACACCAATGCACAGCTCAATGTTTGGTGTTCAACTCACCGAACATTTTAGAATAAGTTAAGTGCAGAAAGGCCACACTGTGTGCTCACTGCTGCCAGTTGTCAGTGGCGAGATGATTGCATTACCGCGGTCCCGTCAAGCGGTGCGCGATTGAAATTGATGCTGATTTTCAAACCAGGGTGTTCAAAGGAAACGCTGCAGCGACAGCCGCGATTCTCGGAGTACTTCAAAGCGCCTGTGACGTCCTGCAGTTCACTGCCACCCGCCACGGCAGATGTCCGTTTTGAAGGCAACTTAACTCGATTGTCTAACAAAAGCCTGGTCTGTGCTGCCGGCACATCCACCAACTGTCTTTCCAGCGTGCAGAAACGCGCGGAATATGCCGAGCGTCTGTTCGACACCGTTTCGCAAGCGCCGTCGAGCGCAAGGCCGACAGCGCCATCGCTGGCGGGAGTCGGTGCTCTTAGGCCGATTTGGGGGGCGCATTCGCCCAGCACGGCCACAAGCAGCGAGATGTGCCGCGCGCTGCACTGGCGGCGAGGCTGCATACGAAATGAACCGCACAGCTAGTCACAGCTGGCGAAAACGACGCTATCGAATGCCAGAATGCCAGCGGCTTGACGTGCCTGCATCTGGCATCATGGAAGTCGAAGAAAATGCACGGGTGCATCAGCTGGTGCGGAAAATCAGATCCCCGGCAGTCCTGAGACGCCTGGCGCTTGTCGATGTGTGTCAGGACGCTGCTGGCCAGGCCGTAGCGTCAGATTGCGGCGCGCCAGGGGAGGAGGGGGGAGGGGGAGAGGGGAGGGCGTCGCTGAAGGTGCTCCACCGAACAGGACGTTCTTCCCCAAGGGGAGCCGAGTCAGCGTGGCGCAATGTTGGCTACTCGCGTCATGGGATGAGCTTGCCTGTCGGTCAATAACATGCTGAAGGGCTAGACTTTGTGGTGTTGAGGCATGCCACAGGGCAGATGAATGCTTGAATATACGAAATGAAGGGATAAAGATAAATAATGATTGCGAATAGTGATTTAAATTTTTGGTCATTCTGAACGGCTGATTATCATTGAGGTAGAAAGCGAGTCTTCTGGAGGTGTTTGCAAAATATATTTTCGAGATACAGTCCAGCCTGTACTTTGGTTTGCATCCTTCAGCCTCCAAAGCTATTCCGGTGTGATTCCGGTTTATTCGGAGAGATATGTGCTAACGTTACGCCAGTTTCCCATATGGTTTTTAACACCAACACAAGAGACCGTAATTTTACTGACGGAGTCTGAGCGATCAACAGGGAGCCATCCGCAGCTGGTAAACATCGCAGACTCGTCAAATGTGTGGGCCACAAATCCAGGCTTAGCAAGGGGCATGTAAAATAGGCAGTAAACAAAAGCAGTAAATCATTTCGCGCGTGGAAAACAGCACCAGCTCGAATAAATACGTTTCACGTGAAGACAGGGTGGTAAGAATCGTTGTTTTCAGCACTCTCGTGGGAACATTGAAAGGACAGCTCGCTTGAGAAGGCTCAGGGGGCTTTATGGCGCAGGTAAAGAAGATCTTGTCCGGTCTAGAACGAAAATTGAGGGTGATGTCATCATTGTTTTATTCAATAATTTACCGGCAACATCGCAGCCTATGAACTTATGCGTGTGATGCCTGATGACATGCACGATACAGATGACATTAAAACTTAGTGCTTGAGGTAGCCACGATTACAACTTAGTTAGAAAATATGCACTAAACGAAACGAAACGATGTTGCCCAGCCATCACCAGGCAATTATGATCAGAACCAAAAATATCGGTACCTTTACAGGGCCAAACAATGTGCAATCCTGCACGTCAACCTCACACGTGGCAGCAGGGTTTAAGCAGGGTAAAATATTTCCGCACTCTGGGAACAATCTATTTTGATATGCCATACATAAATAATAGCTTAAAAAGAGATCACATTTAATTTATGTAAAATATACTATATTCAATACATTTTCCTAAAATTTTTATTGCCGGTCATTGATGAAACACAGGGCTCCCTCTTGGGTTTCAGCATTCGCTTAGCGCATCGGGTGTGTGGCATTGCCAGAGGGTCGTCGCCCCCCCCCTCCCCCACCGGACGCTGCGCAAGCGGGTCCCGGGACCGGCGATCCGAAGAGAGTTAATCTTGTCTTGGCTCAAACAAAGTTAAAGAGCTGAAAGCCACTTGTTTGCAAGCGTTTTATAAAACAATCAAAGTTTTGCGTTTTGTTTAACGACGCATCCGGCGACTGGTCGCGGATTGCGCTCATCTGCTACCGTTATTTTGTCTGCGACGGCTCTATGCTATTGCTCGGTGTGGTGCGGCGTTACGCCAATCACCGAGCGCCCAGTCATTTGGTGCGGCGTTACGCTAGCAACCGTGCTCTCAGTCATATGGTGCGGCGTTATGCTAACAGCTGTACGCCCAGCCACTTGGCGCAGAGCGACACTAACAGTCGTACACCCAGTCATTTGATACAGCGTTACGCCAACAGACTGTGCCCAGTCGTTTGACACAGAGTTACGCTAATAGCCGTGCGCCCAGTCAGTCGTAGAATCCGGTTGAAAGCCCAGTTGGAATCGTCCTCGTTTCCTCCTCATCTTCCCCGTTTGCAGTGGTGTGCAATAATATGGACTGAGTGCAACACAATCTACTCCCTCCCCCGTTCCCGTCCCCCAATCCGCTATGAGTGGTCGAGCACTCTCAATGACCAGTGGTGTAGCCGGATGATCACATGGGTTTGCTTTCTATGAACCCGTGAAAGCGTTAACTGCAGCAATAACGGTTTTAGTTTCTGGCGTTGAGCTGTAACTTTGCAATCACTTCGCGGCCCTGTCTGGCGAGGTCACAGGGAAAACTATCCAATGAACTGGATCGGCTGATTTTGGGTGGTACGATCAGAGAATAGGCAACAAACTGCGTTTCTCATGTGCTATGATTTTAAAACCAGGCATGTAGAGCATTTGATGTAGCACTTTATCTGGAGGGCACGGAGCGGTAGCGTAAATTTCGAGAGAAAAGGTGAAGAAGGGAAATCGCCGAGGAGCATTAGGGCAAAACTGCGGACTAAAAAGATAAGTATACTAATGCGATCCCGTAGCCAAAGTCTTGCTTCTGTACTGCCGGAGACATTGCTGACATTCTGCATATGTTTCTGCTAGTGATCGCGCAAGTGACATATTGGAGCTTGGTCATGGCGTGTTGTGGTTATTTCAGATCGCACGCGGCGACCATGGTGCAGCCGTCTGCAGACCAGCCGCAATCGTGTCAGGATGACACCGGACCGTGTTGTGGACATGGCAGCGTCATTTCCGGTTAGCGCGAGACCGTGTACATTCTGACAGCGTCGCGCCCGCCTGGGTGAGGTCACAGGTCAACGGCACGGTACTGTGAGCCGACTGTAAACGCACCGTGTGTTACACGTAATAGTTCTATCATGCTAATCAGCTAGTGGAGTTGGTCTCGCAAGCTTACCACAGTCCGGTAATGTCGGCTAAGCTCCGAGTAAGCTTAACTTTTTGCGGTTTGTGAGCTCCGATGACACGTTGAACGTACCAGGCGACCTTAGGACATGACCTATCAGACACTTTCGGACAAGCCAATCAGCGCGCTCCATCCGTTGTCTCCCACAATCATGGCGTCCGCTTGTCATGACGCTGGAGTGGCACGCCGGCCCCGCAGGCTTCCCGTGCTGGTTTCCAGCGCATTAGCGTCCGTGACAGACAGTCTCCGTAGGGCAGTTTTGGGGAGGGACGTCGTGGGTTCATGCGCGCAGCCTCAGTGGCGTGCTACGTCTTATAACAGGCTGACCGCAGGCTCAAAACTTGCGCTGGGATGTTCGGCCTTTTTCGCCACAGCCAGCCCGAGATTTTGAAGTTTCGAGGCAGCCGCAGCTGTCTGTGGTCCATGACGACCAGCGCCATGGACGGGATGGAGCAGCGCCCAACACTGAGCAACCTTGTGACCATGACTGGCGTGCTTGGCACATTTGCGACCTCCTGCAATCTCATCCGCTGTTCCCCCCAGTCAGTTGAGCTTCCGTGTTAGGAACTTGAAATACGGCGGCACCGTGATTTGCTCCGGCACGTCCTCGACACTGCGCTGTGCGCTTCAACGCCAGGCGATGCCATCGATCGGTCACCAATGTTTGCCGCCTGCCACGTTTCCAGGTGCCGCGAGACAGCCGCCCAGTGGCTGACGTTATGACGTCCAGTAGTGATGCCATCTGGCAGCACTGGTAGCCTATTCAAAGCGAATTCTAGCCGCAAGCAATCCATGAGATGATCATAAAACTGTTACCAGAGGTCTGTTTTAGTTCAAGTTTAAGGAACGACATTTTTAAAACTGTGAAAAGAATATTGCATAGTGCTAGTGCCAGTACAGCATGAGGTGGCTTTCATCAGCTTATTTGACCACAGCTGACAATTGAGACGATTTGAATGCTTGCGGTGACAAAATATTTATTTTCCACACTTGGGTCTAGTTGCAGCGCCGCGAGCTCCCGCGTGTCGGCGCGACCAGTTGGCAGTCGGAGTCTGCTGGTGTTCTAACTGGCAGGCTGTAACTAAAATCAATAAATCATTGCCGGTTTTGGTTCCTTTGGAGCTCAACTGAAGTCCCATTCTCACATTTTGGATACAATGAAAAATATCGGCCGTCGGAACTATTCATGTTATGCTATTTCAGGAAGACAAAATAGAAGGACGAAGCATGTTACGCCCCCCACTCACTCTGTCTCTTGGCGGAGACGCCAGCTGAACAGAATGCTCTATCCAATCATGTGCAGCAGTTTTAGTTCCAATTCTGTACGACAAGGGTTATGTATTGGCTAGTCTCCTCATCTGCGCTGTGAACAAGTGTGAAATACTTTTCAAAGGCTGTAACAGGTTGACATTATGCAAAAGATGCGCAAAACCAATTGTTTTAAGTTGGCGAAAGCACTTTCCCAAACCTCACGCATATATTGCCACATTCTCCAACTGCTTCTTAACTTGAAACTTCACCCCAATTTTCTTGACCAAGCCATAGTTCAGCTGCTCCCGCCATTCGGTTCATGTTGGCCAGAAATATCCATACTTCAGGAAAACTCCTCTTGCTCTAATAAGTTGCTCGAGTGCACCACCAATGGCGCAGTGTCTGGGGTTTGATCGAAACATGGGTATATTGCTTAAAGCACATGTACTTAGGAAAGTTGAAATTCTACGGAAATGCTATTAAGCAATTTTTTCAGCTGGGCCTGCTCAAACTGGTACCATGAATTCAGGTCAAGATATTTGCTGCAGCACATTCAAGGCAATAAGCTGGATGAGATAACTGCAAAAATTAAGTTCATGATAATGGAACCGTGCTATGACTTGGAAAACAACATAGGTATATGCTGCTCCTATATACCCCTTAATATTTTCTTAATATTTTCCGTTGCAAACACCCCGTTTATAACATCAAATTGATGATGCAAGATGCGAGCTCATTAAATTCAAAGTAATTTGAAAGACGAAATGCACCACCTCCTCGTCATGACAATTAAGGCAAGCAACTGGATGCCGCCCACCGCGCGGTTGCGTCTAAGCTTACTGCTCTGCTCGCGGATGTGTTGCAGGCGCTTAAAGCGGCCATGCAATAGACCTGTCATGAATGAGCAACGAGTAAAATAAATTTGTAGGTAATGGTGTCGATGGAAGGGGGGTGAGCGAGAGTTTTGTGAAGTGCGGAATGCTTTGTTTTGTGAGTAGCTGAAACTGCTCGGAAGTGCTGGCCTCGCTGTGCGCGTTCATCAGGTCAATAACGTGGCCACCAACCGGATTGGGTTTTACCCACGTGTGGCCTGAAGAATTCACACTTCTTCATGTTGGAGTTGTATCTTTTTCAATCAAACGTTCTTACGTGGTCTGAGCTCAGTGGCAAAGTGACAAAGTCTAAGCCTTGTCACTGACTCATTGCCACATGAATCACAGAGACAGAGGCTGGGTTGAGTGGCCGTCAGTGATACCGCAACATCCACGGGCAGTTGCGGTTGGATTATGTTGGTTTTGCGAATGGCAACGGGGGTGGCAAGGTGCTGTAAGGGGCTTGTAGTATGATTGCCGGTGAGATAGCGGAAGTCGTTACAAGATACGGTCGACAGGAATCAATACGGAACTCTCACCTATGTTAGAAACTAATTTCGATTGCAAAGCGCAAATAAATTGAAATGCTAGGTAGCATTTGTAGCCAGTGCTCTTAAAGCGTTCGTGGAATACAACTTTCCAACAAACAAAATTTCGCCGTAAACGCAAGTTTGCAAACCGTGCTCTTAACTAGCAATTTGCGCCTAATGAAATGGGGAGGGTCATAAAACAAATGAAACGCCTCATTTCGAATCCGTACCCATGTCATGCGCAAATTATTGCAGATATCTAGGAAGCTGCTGGCTGTAAATCCGTGGGCTCATGTGGTATTGGCTGCAGAACACTGGTGGAAGAAAGGAGATATGTGCCTCAATGAAACGGTTCCCCGGTTATTGGCCCGGCACTACCCTGTACATATCTCCACATACGACCACCGGGGGTTAAAAGAACCTCTTTCGCTTGGTATTTCATGATCCAATCGTCGGAACGAAGCAAACAAATTGTCTATAGGCCCGGTTAATGCCACCCAGGAATCGTTAGATGAAAGCTTGTCATGTGACTGATGATATCAGAGGTCAAGCCAGATCCGTGAGTCACGAATTTTGGAGCGAATTCAGGGTTCTATGTGCCAGTAAAAACAGTCATCCACGCTTCAAGTCGACGCCAGAATAAAAATAGTGTGCTCGTACACTTAAGAATCTTATTAATGTGTTGATCAAAGACCTGAGTTAAGTTAAGATCAGATCAAAGTCATGTGAGGTCAAGTAAGGTTACTTTACGAGACGAGATGTTAGCTCCTCTGGTTCACATAATTTGTTCACACAGATCATTGACCGAAAAGTTGTCTGTTATACCGGCTGCTTTATCACAGAATGGAGTAGCCATCTGTAGACCGTTATGAGTTGGCTTCATATGACATCTATCGGCGACCGGGTGTAATCTTGCATTGTGTGGCTGACCTTAGCTGGCGAACAGCCAAACCAGCCGATGTGACACACGACAGCAATCAATAGCAAGATGGTAAGCTGCAAGTTGCTCACATGTACAGACAACAATCGCGGTGCAAGCCTTCATGGATTACGTCACAGTCCGGCAGCCTGATCCAATTAATATTTTTTTCTCCAGAATGCCTCGACTCATGTGTCAGATTCCTAAATGTAAAAACAAATCACTTATCAGAAACCACCGATTTGGTGAACTTGCCTGATGGGATTCAAAAGCCACTCCTGAAACTCGGAGAGGTTTCGGGACTAATTTACTTCTGTCCTCTCCTCCACGCCATAGCAGGGCACCTATTTCACAAACGCAAACAATTTTTCCAGTTTTCCAGCTTCCTCCGAACATCGTTTGCCATGACAATCACAAGTTTCGCGGGGAGACGTTTTGGAGAGCGCAGGCAGCCTGTCGCCGCCGGAGACGTACCGGTGCCGGCTGCCGCTTGCCCCAGTTGCCGTGCAGGTCATTCCAGTCGGCACGCTTGTCGGTGGAGACCGGCTCCGGCTGCTCGCCGCGGCTCGGCCGGACGGCCAGCAGGGCCAGGCAGGTCAGCAGCAGACAGCGGCTCTCCATGGCGGGTCAGGCTGCGGCAGAGCACAGGTCAGGTCAGAGACCGACTTCCGGCGGCGGGCCCGGCTGCGCAGAGCACAGGTCAAGTCAGGGACCGACTCCCCGTGGCGGGCCCGGCTGCGGCAGAGCACAGGTCAGGTCAGGGACCGACTCCCCGTGGTGGGTCCGGCTGCGACAGAGCACAGGTCAGGTCAGGGACCGACTCCCCGTGGTGGGTCCGGCTGCGACAGAGCACAGGTCAGGTCAGGGACCGACTCCCCGTGGCGGCCCCGGCTGTGACAGAGCACAGATCAGGTCAGAGACCGACTCCCCGTGGAGGCCCGGCTGTGGCAGAGCACAGGTCAGGTCAGAGACCGACTCCCGTGGCGGGCCCGGCTGTGGCAGAACACAGGTCAGGTCAGGGACGTGCACTTAAGTTCATGGTACAGCTGTAATACCTTTGACGACAGAGTAACGTGATGCAACCAGGCGATATACTTGCAGCATGTTATTGTTTAGAAACATTTTCGGAATATTTAAGTACGCATACCATTTGGTTTGCATCACGCCCTTCATCGAGGGAGAAGCGCCTTAAACCAGTGGGCTGTGCTGTTCACTGCATGCCCCGCGAACAGATGTAACGCAGACTTGTCCGTCCCTCCCCCCCCCCCCCCCACCCCCTCTCTCCCCCTGTCGTCCTTGGGATGCTGTTATGTGCCCGGTAACAGCAGCCACAAACGAACTATCAGCAAACACTTCCGGGAGGAAATGATCGGTCACGAGAAACGAACGTGCTTCAACCACACTTCTGTCCCTCGGTTGGGCTGTTCGATTCTGGATTTGGCGGATGTAAGATCCACAAACACATGTTTTGACCAAACGCGGATTCCTTTGAAGGTGGCAGGAAAATGGTCATTCAGTTTCGATGCGTCTGAGTAACCATCCACCCAAGTCGCTGTTTGGGTGCGCGTGATGCGCTTAGGTGCGGAATTGAGATTGTTATGGCGTCACTTTGTGGCGAGCGGAAGTTGCAGCTCGGGCCGCTTTGAAAAACAGACCCTATTTCAGACAGACCGTGCGCATCGTGGAGTGCGGGTCAATATCAGCACGTAATCAATGCCTTCAGCCTGCCTTTGGCGACCTACTTGCATTGGTTTGGTGGCTTAGAATCCCTTTACCCCTGGAACGCATGCTCGTAAATATGAATCTCCTCTAACTACCATCTATACAGCCGGCCTCACTTTTCCATATCCCTCACTTGCATATGCTGTTGACTGTCACACGGGCCGCCAGTGCTGGCGGTTCAGGGCCTTCCACGGGCCGGTGAAATCTGGCGGCGCACCGCACGACGCGACGCCAACAAACGGATGCATGTTTCACGTCATCATCATCTATGTGAAGAAGCAAGAGCAAACATTGAAATCCAATGCGTTCCGTGGCAGTGCGGTAAAGCCGCACTGACGATCAAAACATATGCTCCAGACGCATTACCTAACCTTGGATGGCTTGGCAACCGCGTACCTTAACGAATCCAACAAATAAGAGGGAGAACAAGCCCCGTAGGTAGTCTTATTGTTTGCTTGTCACCAGGGCATGTTTAGGCGCCGGAGAAAAGAACAACACAAACTACACGGTGGACAGAAATGAGAGATGCTCCGGTGGTTCCAAAGTGCAGGACTGGCGCTCGTTAACGAATGACGACATATGAACCAATACAAATGAGCGGCCAATGCTCCGTATTACCCTTCGCAACGGCTATCCTTGCGTGGGTGACATACCAACAGTCAGCACCGATCGAATGAAGAGGGCTTAGGCGCCGCCAACTGAGACGATGCTTGGAAGAACTTCATCCATTCCGGTCACTTACTGGAATGAGGCCAGAGTTCGTGGACGGTGGAAGTTCAGCCTAGAGATTCTACTGGAGTGTTTGCACAAATGAGTTCATCTGAGTCACTGGGCAATGGCAAATCGTCGGCGAGAGGAAGACTTAGTTTGAAGGATCGGCTTGGATGCCGTTTCTGAGGACTGGCCGAACCTATACACCTGCTGACCTATAATAGCATCCCGATACAAAATTTATGTTGAAAACTTCTCTCCTCTTCCGAAAAGCAGCTATATTAAAGCCGCACATCTAATTCATTCTTCACAGTTTAAAAGCGTTCCCATCCGCAGTTTAACGATATTTTTAATGACGCCATGGCGTTAATCTTGACAGCTTGTCAACATCAATCCAAACCTGTTTAAGGTATTCCACATTTACGCCATGTACCGTGTCACAGAACGGTCGTTCATCATGCAGGGTGACGACGTGAAATGAGCAAGCAAGAAGAAAGAAAAGCAAGAAAATCCGACGCAGGACCGGTGGTTCACGGTGCTTTGGCTTCCATTAGACATGCCTGTCTTTCTAAAGTTCTCCATTCGTGGACATTAACGATCTTTCCCAACGTTTCTGACTGGTGGCATCAGTTACACATCTGACCTGTCGTAAGACCTTTTCAGTTATTAAACTACGCTGTTAAATTATCTGAGTCAGCTGCAAACCAAATCAAGCAGCCTTAGCTGCGGCAGTTCCCCACGAATTCCTGATGCTTTACATAATTGAATGTCCAAAGCCAGGAGGTCATCGGCGGCCGTAAAATGAGGTCCTCCAATAGAGCGAAATCTTGGACGGCTGATCACGTCCCCCAGCCCCCGACGGGCGTTGGGTGGTCGCTTCGATATGTTGCGCTATCTTATCCGCGATTATTTGAGCTGTTCGATCTCACCATCACATTTATGCTTGCCAAATATTTTCGAGGGCGAACTCGGCAACACGCTGACGTCAGCACGAGAACAATGGCTCACATGCCAAGAGATCAATGTAGGCAAACTAGGCAACTAAACCATTAGTTAAGATGAAAACAGCAATATTTTGGTTGCTTTTAATAGGATCCAAATTTGATACTTTGGTTGGATTGACTCGTGAGGTCAGCGATCACGACAAGCAGTGTTTGTTGTGTGAGCTTCGACGGCATAATTCAGCGACGGGAGTTAACCGTGCCTCAATGCTCAGAGCGGTCCGTCCCACACACTGACCTCATCTGACCTTGAGACCCGAACTCTCTCACCCTGCCACGGGCAGGCTGGGAGACAGGCGCTCTAGCCGATTGAGCTACGGGGCGGACTTTAGAGCGGTTTCTGGCAGCAGTGACTATTTCAGAGCTGTGGGATTAAAGAGAGAGGGATGAGTAGGACCCCTGCCAGGGCGGCCCCTGGGCTGAATCGTGGCTGACGGCCGCGGCACGACCCCGGCGCGTGAGGTCGTGAGGTTACGAGCACTTTGGATGAAGTGAAGCGAAGATTGAAGCAAAGTTAAGTGAAGTGAAGAGTGGAGGCAACACGGTGGATGTCAAAACACACCAAGTACCGGTCTGAGTATGTGCGTGAGAAGCTGACAAGTGACGAGATTCAAAGCTCCGCTAGCCATTTCGTCTTCTTGTAATGCTTCTCCACATTCCTGTGACCCGTCTCTACGCTCCGCTTATCCGTTCTTTTATCATGCTTTCCCTCCCTATGCCGCAAAATCGGCAAGTGGTGAATACGGGCTGGAGACCGCGGACACTAAATTCTGCAAATTCTGCTAGGATTCGGAGGCGCTATTTCGCAAGTGCGAGACATGCACTCAATCCATGGAGGCATGTAATTCCCACAGGAATGGGCGCTGGACACCGGCACTGACGGGTGAGAAGTGAGGAGTGATGGAATGAGGACACATATGTTCCTGGAAACACGTCGTGGTTCTGACACGTCACTTAAGATAACTTACAATGAATTGCGCAGATTCCACTCATAGAGCGAGCTCCAGAGGCGCCTATCTAGGGGCGCCAGGCCAGACCGAGGGCTCCAGCGCGGAAGAGCCCAGATTCGAAACCCACGTGTATTACGACACCTGGGCGCAGCATCACCAGCGTAGTCACTAGCCAAGCAAAAGCCACGGTTCGCCACGGCACGCTGCGCATTCTTCTCCCAAAATAGGTATAAAGGCCCATATAAAACACGTAGTGACCACAAATCGGTAAACCGCGTTTGGTGGATCACGGTGCAGGCACGCTTGGGCCTTAGTTTTTCCAAAACGAGTCTTTAGCACCGGACTCGGGGTGGTACCGACAGATAGAACAGCCGGGTATACATCTGAAGCCGAACATTTCTGGGCGACCGCGATGCGAAAAATTGGTATGATCTGAAGGCGTGCAAAAGTGTCATGTCAAAGGCGTGTACTGGGGGTGTGTAGAAAGAGCATACGGCAGGGCGTGGTAGGATAAGGTCATGTTTTGCTCTTTGCTAAAAGCGGAGTTTCGTACAATTACTTGGGACGAGATGTGGAAAGGGAGCAGAAATGAGATGTTCTCTATGTGCGGATTTTCTGCTGTTTGTGTTTTTTTTTACAGTCCCTTCGTTTGCGATTTGGATCCCAGGCTAGAGGCCGAAGCAACCAGAGGGAGGAAAAAGGACAAGGCACCACTAGGAGATACAACGCTTTAGCCGCGGACACAGTTAAACCTTCAGTGGTTGGTCCTGACTGATTGATGACATTGGTGTTATTCTCGCCGTGGATGGATTGGATTCAGGACGTCAGCGGAGCAGCGTGGTGTGTTCCGTGCATGCCGATGTAAAACCTGAGTACATGTGCCGTTTTTGCTCAGCCGAGCATGCCAAATTTCGGTTGTTTGGTTTTCTCAGTCATCTCTCACCGTGGAAGCCGCTTTACCTCTCGCCCAGACTGCGTAGGTACAGAATACAGAAAGCATATGATGCGTGCAATATACGACGTGATGTCGTCTCACTCTCAGACGCTATTCATTGCACCACCAAAGCGCAGACTGCAGGTACTGTTTTCTGCTGTCCAGGCATGGTCTGCTTCTAAATGTTAGAATGAGCTATGCTAACATGAGCTAGGGGTGAACAACTGCATATGTCAACATCATGTTCTAGTTATGGCACTCATGAAGAGTAAAATCATAACTCCCGCATATCTAATTATCCAACTCTGTAATCG